TTATTGTTGTTGTTGTTGTTGTTGTTAATAATAATTTTATTAATTTTAAAAATGATTATATGCCACCTTTCTCCTAAAAAGGCAGGTTACAGTATTAAAAAATATTAAACAGCTAAAACAACAAATTATTACTTTATCTTTAAAAAATTAAACAGATAAAATACTAGACCAAGTAGACAAAGTCAGTAATAAAACACATTAGAAACAACATCTACAATTGAAACACAACAGTCCCACTTTAAAAAATCCCTTTTAGATAGCCAGTTACTAAGAAAAGCTTTACTGCAGAGAAAGGCCTTCACCTGCCTTTGGAAGGAGAGCAAAGACAGGGACTGCTTGGCTTCCCATAGGAAGGAGTTCCGGAGTCACAAAATGTTGCATAGTTTTGTTTGTTTTATTTTAACGTTTTTTGTCTCATATGAATTCTCCTCCTCCCAGCAAATTCTCAGTTATTTGCTACTCACTTGGTGTTCACTCAGTCTCTGGCATTAATGCTCAGTACTTCAGTATGTAAGTTCACTCTGATTAGAAGAGCTCAATTCTCTGTTCATTTACTTGGAAGTAAATCCAGCCAAATTTGTTGTCCAACATTCTGTCAGTATAGTAAATTGCCCATTTCTTCCTTTTTTCATTCTTTCTTTGTATCAGAGTGTTGCACAATTAAAATTATGGATTAGAGATGGGCACAAAGTGGTTCATATAGCCCATCTCCTTCCCACCCCTGCGCAGCTCACTACTCATTGGCTGAGGAGGGAGACTTTCTTTTCCGCCTCTGTGCTGGAATGGTCGGCTGTGCGAGGAAGCAGGGAAGAGCTGTCCGGGCCCCTACCACAATTGTCGCAATGACAATGGAACTGAGCACCATGCTCTGAAAAATGAGTGGACTAACCAGTTCTGGGGAGAGTGGATTGATCTCTGGCACCTCTGGTACTGCTATTTGTATTCATATCCCCAGGGATACGAATATGAACTGCCCATCTCTATTGAGAGCTTGAGATGGGTGCAGAAGAGTTTTCCTTGAATTTAGTTGTCAACTCATAGTTGATGTCCATGAAATAGATGCTTTTGGTGTTGTATTAGCTTATTTTGTTCATTAGTTGCTAGGACATCTTGATGTACTTCTGAGGAGGCAATGCCAGCCAAATATTAGACTTTTTCAGTAGAGGTAGGTTTCAGGCAGCCAATAATAAATCTGCATGATTTATTAAGAGCTATGTTCGTTTGTGTGGCATGTACTGATTGATACATACATTACTATCATATTCTGCTGTAGATTAACACATGTACAAAGCTGTTATAATTTGTGTATGTGCACCCCAGTCTGACCCAACCAGTTTCCTACGTATGTTATTTCTAGCAGCAACTTTCTGTTTGGTATTTAGACAGTGTTACAAACTATTGCCTGCCTAACTAACTCGGAACTTCCTCTATGCTTCCCTGTTCTTTAAGTAGCACAGACCTGTGGCATTTTCTTTTTTAAGAGTTCGCTTTCAGCTGGTTGTTTTTATAAGACAAGGAAAGTTCTTCTATTGCAGATATAGCTGGTGGACAGTCGTCTCAAAGGTCTCCCCCTGGACTGTCAAGGCAAGACCATGAGCACAGATGAAGCTCCTAGAATATGGAAATGTTGGTTGATCAGTCATGTAAATATTTAAAAGTAGTGATGCCAGGACATGACCAAGTGGGAGACCACTCCTTTGATTTCTCCAGTGACTATACCACTCTTGAAATTCAATATAGAATCCTCAGTTTTGAAGTACAGTGGTGCCTCGCTTGACGACGTTAATTAATTCCAGCGAAATTGCTGCAGAGCAAAAACATTGTCAAACGAAATAAAAAACCCATTGAAATGTATTGAAAACCGTTCAGTGTGTTCCAATGAGCTGAATATCTGCTTGTCCAGCGAAGGTCCTCCATACGGCGGATATTTTCTGGTGCCTGTTAAGCGAAAAATCAATCGTAAAAACTGCAGGGACCATTTTCTTCAGCTGGCGGCCATTTTGAAACCCGATGATCCGCTGTTTGCTGATCGTTGTAAAGCGAAAATTGGTTCCCAAAGCAGGGGACCGTTCATCGTGAAACGAAAAACCCCATTTAAACCATCGTTTTGCGATCACAAAAGCGATTGCAAAAACTTCGTTAAGTGGATTCATCGTCATACGGGGTAATCATCCAGCGGGTCACGACTGTACTCCATGATCTCCTTCATTGATTTCTGCCTTGTTGTGGCGAAGGGGCTTGAGTAACTCAGAGAAGCTATGGGCTATGCCGTGCAGGGACACCCAAGACAGACAAGTCATACTGGAGAGTTCTGATTAAACACAATCCACCTGGAGTAGGAATTGGCAAGCCACACCAGTACATTTGCCTAGAATACCCCATGAACAGAAACAATAGGCTAAAAGATATGATGCTGGAAGATGGGCCGCTCAGGTCGGAAGGCGTCCAACATGTTACTGAGAAAGAGCAGAGGACAAGTACAAGTAGCTCCAGAGCTAACGAAGTGGTTGGGCCAAAGCCGAAAGGACGCTCAGCTGCAGACATGCCTGGAAGTGAAAGGAAAGTCCGATGCTGCAAAGAAAAATACTACATAGGAACCTGAAATGTAAGATCACACACAGAGACATCCACACCCTTCCTTCCTCCTTCCCTAAATTTTCTACAATCAGTTGCTTAGCTCACTATGATCCCGTTTCTTCTCATTACAGTGGTGCCTCGGTTTACAAGCGCTCTGTTTGACGACGAAATCACATTACGTTGAAGATTTTGCGATGTTCCCTATGGGGGAGTTTCGCTTTGCGATTATCGGTTCCCTGTTTTGGTAACCGATCATCGCAAAGCAATGATTTTCGGCTAGCTGATCAGCGGTTTCAAAATGGCCGCCGGGGGAAAAAGATGGCCGCCCGCTGTGTTTAGGGACGGATTCCTTGCTGCAGGGGCAGCGGAAATGGCCGCGCTATGGAGGATCTTTGCTGGACGGTGAGTTTTAAGCCCATAGGAATGCATTAATTGGGTTTTAATGATGTTTTCCTTCGACAGCGATTTTTGCGGAACGAATTAACGTCATGTGAGGTACCACTACTACGTTTTCTACAATGTAAGACCTACAATACAAAGATATAATGTATCTACCCAAGCCTGCCGAGGTCTTGAGATCTTTGAGAAATCCTTCCCCCTGTTTTACCATCCTCAAAGGCATGCTTAGTGAAGGCCTAAGAGGCAGCGTAGTCAGTGACTCTCCCAGGCTGTGGGAATCCCTTCCACAGGAGTCCAGGTTAGTTTCCGCTCTGCACCCCTGCTCCTCCTCCTGGCAGGCAAAACCCTTTTTATTTAGAGAGGCTTTTGGCTACTGAACAGCTTGGGATATTGTACACATTCTTTTGCTCTTTTACATGGATTTAAATAGTTTTAATTCAAACTTGTTTTTACTAATACTGATACAGTTCATTAAAAAAAATTATCACTTGTTTTAGTGATATCTGTTTAAATTCGTGTTGTGAGACACCCTGAATCCTGCACCCAGAGGCTACAAACATGTAGAAGATAAATAGATAGTAAAATGCATAAACGTATAGCGAAGACAATACCGACCATCATGCCATTAAACAACTGTGTACTGGTCTGCACAGAAGCTATCTCTTGCGAGGAAAGTATGCTGCTGACGTATCTGCTTGTAAATTTATCTACTATGCTGAAGACTCGTTTCTCACAACTATTCCACCAAAGGCGAACCATGGCTGGCAGATCTTTCAGCGTCATGCAGTAAACAGAGCAAGCCAAATGTGGGATTTGAGATGACAGTGCTGATGTGTCTGGAGAAGAAATAAGGAAAGCATTTATAGAAGAGCAGTTTTTAAAGCATATTTCTTAAAGATATACTCTAATTTTTTTTTAAAAAAATCATTTCTTGACATTGAAGACATAATAGTGTCCACTTGGAAATAAGTCCCACTGAGTTCTGTGGAGCCTGCTCCCAGCTGAACAAGGGTTCGTTTGTTTTCAGTAAAGTAGGTATAGCATACTGTAGCTGGGAGAATTTTTTGATGGTCAGCTGTATTACAAACTTGTCTCTACTCTTTAAGAATCTGAACTGCTCTCCTGATTACAGGGAGAAAAAAGTTGAAACCTATCATAATGATATGCAAAGAGGAGGAACCTGTGTTCCTTGTTTATGTCAATTTTTCTCTTAAACATTACCTGTTCTTCCCTCCAACGCAGCATAGAACAAATGAGCCAGTTAACAAAAGAAATTAAGCAGTCAGCAAAGGAAGTGTAGGTAAGCACTGCAGGCATCTGTTTTAAATGGCAACAGTGTGCATCTACCTCTGGGGAAGCAAACCACTTCATTCTATGCCTCGTTACTCTCTCTCAAATGATTACTGCAGGAAAGTTGATAGCTACCAAAGGAGGCTTGAGCTTCTCAACAACAAAACACTGAAGTGGAACTTTTATTTAGGAACTATTCAGTGTGGGAGGTCTAAATTGCTCCAGCTGTTCCAATTATGACCTGGAATAAGTGTGGTACAGACATGGACTTTTTGAAATTAATTTTAGTGGGATGTGAAGCCTATTCCAATTTTTTAATGAGTTGCTTGGTAAGTAACATAAACTATGTCAATATATTAGCTGAAATCCTGTTGCTTAATGTAGTAAGTTATACTGAAGTAGGCCCACTGAATCTGTGGGAATTTGGTGAGTCAGTCCCTCCATAAGTTCCATTGATTTAAATGGGTTTACTAAGCTGTGGCTTACTTTAGAGTAATAAGTCGCAACTAGAATAGGTCCATTTGAACCAATGGACATTGCAGAGAAGCTGATTCACCAAATTCCCCACTGATTCAATGGGCCTACTCTATTATGACTTACTATGCTAAACAACTGGATTTCAGCCATTATTTGCAATAAATAACCTAAAGGGCAAGTTTAATTCTAGTCATTTCCCAACAATGGCTAGCATAAGCTAAACCTAAAAAGCCAACAAGTTTTCAAACAATGCTATTTTACAAGAAAATGCATTTAACCTTTTTAAAGATTCAGATGGCTTCCAGTAAAGTTTAGAACATTTGGACCAACCTTCAATGTCTAAATTAATCTCTTCAGTAAAGTACGTTTTTACATCCTTATTTGGAAGTTCAGCTGTTGATCCTGGCAAAGTTGGATTTTCTGGCATAAGCCTGAACAGGTGATATAGCAGTTTATTTAAACTCTTACTTCTTCGAAGGTACTGTGAATAGAGAGCCCGCAGCTGATAGTTTAAAAAGAAAAAAAGGGGGGGGGAAGGGAAATTAGAATGATTTCTAGTAAATATATATTCTCAGAAACAAATGAAAGAATGTACACAATGTACATACAGTTATGGCCAAAATATTGTGCATTTTGGGGTTTCTGTGTGGGATTTATCAGATTTGACTTTTCTTCTATTTTTTGTGTTGTTCCTATGCAAACCAAAGAAATGAATGTGTGAGTACCAAAATATTTGCAACTGCAACTATTTTCTGAGAGAAGGGTTGCATTTTCTGACAGAATTGCAAGGGTGCCAATATTTTTAGCCATGACTGTAATAAGAAAAGGTTTAGTGAGATTCATGACAGATTAGATAAGAATGTGCTTATATCAAATCCTGACATGAATTTCTAAATAAACTAAATGTTACCTCATTAACTATTTAAGAAGGAAGATCAAAATCTCAAGCACATGTTTCTATAAATAATTTAGCAAAGTCAAGATGAAATAACCTCTTGGCAAAGTGACAGCTTTGTATGCCATGCAATGTAAGGCCCACCAAAACTCACATATCCAGAGATTAATGTGAAGGAAGGCAAACAAACAAACAAACAGAGAAAGGATCATGAGCAAAAAACATTTTGTATAAAAGATCCATGTACTAGAAAACACTACATATCACCAGCCTAGGCACAGGTGTCAAAACTATCCTCTGTTAACACCCATAACTGTTACTGATGCATAAAGATAAATAGAAATTCTTATACATATTCTTAAATATGAATAGATATTTTCAGTGTGAGGGTGTGAGGGCAAGAGGAGAAGGGGACGACCGAGGATAAGATGCCTGGACAGTGTCTGCGAAGCAACCAACATGAATTTGACACAACTACGGGAGGCAGAGGAAGACAGGAGGACCTGGCGTGTTCTGGACCATGGGGTCACGAAGAGTTGGACACAACTAAACGAAGATTTTCAGTGTTTACAAAGACTGAATTGGTTGTTCTGGGTTTTTCGGGCTCTGAAGATGTCCTCTGAAGATGCCGGCCACAGAGACTGGCAAAACATTAAGAAGAACAACCTTCAGAACACGGCCAAAGAGCCCGAAAAACCCA